ATCTTTCCAGGAGTGATATTAATAAAAGGCCTTTTGGAAGGAGTGGTCCTCACTTTCCTTCCAGAGTGGGTTTTTATGCCTGGCTGGTTAAAAGTGAAAAGCAATTTCAGTGAGAGACAGTACTTAAGGAAAAGTGCCTTCAGGGGTCGAGGGCAGAGTGCAGAAAATTGACTTCAGTTATGCCTTCTCCACCACAACCTATGGCCAGACAAGACAGGCTACTATTGTCTCCCGGGTCCCATGAACACTCAGACAACAATACGTCAAATCCCAAATGGCATGCCAGGAACCATTTGCATTCCTTAAATTGGGAGAATCCATTTTCCCTAATGAGATTGACGTCAGCCCTTAATAGCATCTCTGGTCATTTTGGGGTTACTCTTCAGCATAATGGAATGGCTTATCAGGGAACAACAATACTGGTGGTGTTACGGCCCATATGTGCTTATCTATTCTGTTAGTGCCCATCATAGTAATCTCACTAATTGTATAAAGCTGCCTTCACACCCTATCGAAATTATCGTAGGCTCAAGATGACAACATGTGACGTTCTACTCGATGATGCTCACATCCTCGGACTCGGAATTATGCATTTTTGGAGATGCTTTTGATTATTAAAATTTAATGGAACCATTCAAATGGAATCCAGAAAATAATGGAAAACTGAATTTGGTAAAGATAAAACTGTAAAACTCAATTAATTAGATAGGTTTTTTGATTAATACAACTTAATTTAACCATTAAAACATGTTCAAATAAAGTATCAAAAGCAAGAAATCATATGGTTTTATTGAACAAAATTGTTAAAATACATAGGCCTAATGTATTATAAACATATAGAGCTAATGTACATTATGTACTTATTATTAAGTACAAGTCAAGCACAACTGACAGTACTAATGTTGATTACCTTATTTTTTATTTTATTTTATTTTATTTAGCAAAAATCTAGGTTACGGTGAGGCATTACAATGGAAGTGAATGGGGCCAGTTCAAAAATATTAAAATACTCAACACTCAATATTCAAAAATATAGTCACAAGTAGTTGTTATTGTAAGTAAAAATATAAAAATAATTTTCTGTAATTTAAATAAAAACTTAAATAAAACTAAAATATAAATATTAGATGAAAAAAACAATAAAAACATAAAAACTAATAGTAAATATAAAAATATGTATTAATATTAATTCAAATATTAATAAATACTACAACAGTATAGAAATAATACTAAAATGGCACTGATCACAAGATGTAAACACTGTGTTGATTTTATTGTGAAAAATGTCTTCCTAACCATTTTCTGCATAAAGTTATATTCAATTTTACAACTTAGTTGTCATGACAACACACCACCATAAACCCTAAAACAGCTTCAATTAATACACCAGTTTTAACAGAAAAGTTTTTCAAGCTTTTAACAGCTTCCCATTTCTGATTTTAAATCCTCAAAAATCGTCCCCATTCACTTCCATTGTAAGTGCTCACCGTAACCTCAAATTCTTGCATTACATTAAAGGGGTCATGAACTGAGATACATATAAGAGGACATTGTACTATAAAAACATCCTGTAAGTTTCAGAACTCAAAACTTTCTCGTTACTCTAAAAACAGCTTATACTGAAGATTTGCGCGTGTAGTTTAAATAACGAGAGAGGAAAACGCAGGTCTACGCAGAAACCAAACTATAAAGACGGATCCGAAGACAAGATGTTGTGCAGTGCCAAGTTGTAGAAAAACTGAGTCTTTGCATTGCCTTCATTCTGATCGTAACATTAGGAAAGAGTGGGTGAACTTTATTTTTAATTAAGTTCCAGACCGCATTACTAAGAACTAGGTATTTTGTTAACTTAATTTTACAGCGGATTCGTTTACAAACAAGGCACAAGATTTTCAGAAAGATTTTCAGAAAGATTGAAAGACGATGCTGTGCCGACTATATTGGATCCGACAGTAATGACGCACCACACAAGTGTGAATAACTGTTTTTATTACGTGGTCACTATTGCGTTGTCTGCTATTGCAGATTGTTCAATATGTACTGAGTATTTATGCATTTTTTACCTAAATCACAGCAGCGTCCATCTATGAAGTATGTAGGCTGTCAAACATACACAACTGTTAGCCAATCATAGCAGTGGGCGTTTACTTCTGAGTCTACAATCCGCCACACCTATTCAAACAGAGCATTCTGATGAGAGGGGTAAAAACAGGACAGAAAGTAGCCTATTACTTCTAAATTATGATGTTTTTTTATGTAAAAATCTTGATAACATTATAAGTGGGCCTCAGAGAACAGTACAAAATAAAAAACAAAGGCAATTCATGAACCCTTTAAAGGGGTCATATGATGTTGCTAAAAAGAACATTATTTTGTGTTTCACACATTTAAACAACTTTCTGGTAGTGAGTGCCATAGCTACCAACTCTCACACTTTATTTTGATGTTTCATTATGTTTTGCTATTATTATTATGAAAAAAAAAATGTAATGCATGCAACAATGTCATATGCAACTTTACCACAGATGGAATGCTTTATTTTCATTTTTAAATTACATCTCACAGGTTTTTTTTTTCCGATTGTATTTCTTGGGACATCTGTTCTTGTTCAGGAATTAATGTTTCTTGTGTATTATTGCATTTTTTATTTTTTTATAGCTTTTTTTATGTACAGCAAAATAAAAAAAGGACTTAATGAATATGAATTTAGTAAATAATTCAATAAATAAATAAAACAATCTCAAAAGAACATAATATAATTACAGCAATACATTAATTACTATGAACTTAATCTCTTTAAAAAAGCACAATTTAATTACAGCAAGCAATATCAAACAAACAAATAAATAAATATTAAAAAAATTAAAGAATAATCTTAAAAAAAATAAGGTTAACACTTTAGTTTAGGGATCAGTTCTCACTATTAACTAGTTGCTTATTAGCATGCATGTTACTAGCATATTGGCTGTTTATTAGTACTTATAAAGCACATATTAAAGGCAGGGTATGTGATTTTTCAAAAACACTTTAGAAAACTGATTCGGGCCGAATAGCAAAACAAACTTGTAGCCAATCAGCAATAAGGGGCGTGTCTACTCGTGATGTGGAGGAGAGAGCTTTCAGTGCATGGGACGGACATTAGCCGAGCCGAGAGACAGAAAGATAGAGATGGCGGATAAAAAACAAAAGAGGAAAACGTCTGCGGAACGATAAGGCAAGAAGTAGGACACGTGTAAATATCGGATCAGCTTTCCAGAGCTGGAGAGAACTCAAGGAGCGGAGGCCTGCGATCGGACGCCGAGGTTGCTTTGTTTCTTCTCAATAGGTGAGTAACACCGTGTCTACAACAGCTCTGCCTACACTGGACGCGATCAAACGACCATTGAAAAACATTTGAAATTTGTATCAGCACGTCATAAATAGAACCCGGCAGCAGTTTTCTGTCGGGATTTGTTGCGCCGCGCCACTCACGTCCGTAGACACGGTGTAACATTAGTTTTGCTTTGTTTCACAGAACTAATCGTTGCCTGGGTTGCGTACATATATGTGGGGCGGAGCTATCAAAATAGGGGCAAGACCCTTTTGGGGTAGGGGCGTGTTTGTTTTGGTGATTTCAAAGATCAACATTGGCTACCAGAAATCACTTACTCTGCCTTTAATGGCAGATTTTGTATCTAACCTCATACCTAAACTTAAAAACTACCTTACAAACTATTAATGCAAAAGCTGCAATTAGGAGTTAATTGAGGCAAAAGTCATAGATAATAGTTAGTCAATAGTGAGAATTGGCCCCCAAACTAAAAACTTGGACCCAATTAAAGTCGGCATGAAACGGAAGTTGCGATTGTCTTTTCTACTCTGCTGTGACGTATATCCGAGTGAATCGGCATCTGAAATGAGAGGGTGGGACTTGATTTCGTCCTTCTGGAATTGATTGGATCGTTGGAAGTTGGGGCGTTGCCAACAAAATGGAGGCAGATCTGAATGCCAGTTTGCAGTGAGTTGTGGGGGATTTCTCTCCACTGGATTCACCGCAGACACCCTAGCATGAATACATTTTTTATTTTTTTTATTGAGGATGACGATGATGATCAACGGCACAAAACATGCCTAAACAGCGCACGTGCGAGAGAGAGAGAGACTGCCTGAATGACTGAACGCATCCTCCATCAGGCTAAGTCATATTCATGAAAAAAAAAAAAAAATTGTTTGCGATGTTCTAAGAGTAATGTTGTCGTAATATCCTAATATCTTTTCGATATTTAAGGGTAACGTACTCCCTTATGACTGGTGTCAAGTGCTATAAAGTGAAGCATCAGCTTCAGCTTTCCCCCCTGTCGTTTATTCCAAACGTCACTGATGTCACTGCAGCTGTTAGCAGTTCCAGATAGCTCCGCCCTTGCGCAATAGCTCGTGACCGGAAGAGTAGAGGAGTCGTTTTGAGGGGGAGGGGAGGTTAACGCTTTTGATTAAAGATTACGAGGGCACATGAATTGTAAAAAAATAATGAAGTGCACGGTAAATTATTTATAATAAACACTACAGTATTCCATCAAAAAACAAGAATTGTCAATTTTGATTTCATGCCGACTTTAAGACTTCCAGGCTGACACCACCAATCCCTCTTATTTTTTCAACCTCATCACCTCCAACCACTTGTCATGTACATACCATTGCAAGATCCAATAAATTACCAATGTGTAAAATCAAATCAGGCCCTACATTTTTCTCATTGAATATTTTGAAATACATCACATTACAAACACAATGGGTAGCAAATGAAGTATTACTTTGGTTTTAAGCTGAACCAAGCAATAATGCAGTATTTTAAATGTCTCATGGGCCGGGTCTTGATGATCTCATTGTGTTTTCAGCACTATGCAGTACATCCTAGCAACACTATGTTACAGACAACATGAGCTATAGTACATTCTTGAAGCCGGGAACTGGAAATTGGAAGCAATCGTGTCGAGGGAACAGTAATTTGACAGGAACTTCAGTCTACAATGTACTCTATCATCCCTAAAGTATAATCTCGAGTGGGAGAGTTTTGCCTGTTTTGCCATCTTCATACCTGGCATAGCATCTTCAAATAGAAAAACAGACTCTTTTTTTTTATTGTAACATATGAGTTCTACAATAACACGCCCACAATGTTAGCTGAATACTGAATATGATTGCTGCAAGTAAGCTTTCGAGCAGATGTTACAGCCTAATGGGACCAGCGTCATCAGAAAAGATGTATTTGTTTTCAGTTGTCATTGTCTGAACAAGTTCTCTTTCATTTCATTTTGTCTGGTCGGGAATCACAAAGGCTTTGTGCTGAGGTGGCAACCTTGGACAGATTTCATTTGAGTTCTCTTTGACGTTTTGGTTCGCCTGCAATACGGCCAAGGGGTAATCAATCAACAAAATAAAGGAAATGAAAAAAAGTACCAAACGTTAGGAAATGAATCCAATGCAAGGCAAGACAAGACTATTGAGACGCTTGGCAGCTAAAAAAGGCAACTGTTTATGCGAGAGTATCAACACAGAGAGAAGTCCTATGCCACACACAGTGTGTTTTGACTGAACATAAGCTCATGAATGAAAAGGTAAACAGTGTAAAACGTGAGAGCTGATTCTGACATGAAGTGTCTTTAGAGGAAACAGCGTATAGTGTCGAGAAAGAACTTTCTCAGTGTGTACTTGATTACTGTGGGTTGCTTAGTCTCATCTGCTCACATTACCGTCAGCTAGATAACTGTAAAGGTTGAGGTTTAGAAAATGGAAATTTCTCTTTTCTTCTATCTGCAGCTACTAAAAATTTGGTTTACAGTTTGAATAAAGAACTGAAAAAGTACATTTACACATTTGGCAGACGCTTTTATACGAAGCAACTTACATTGCTTTCAAGATACACATTTACTTTTTATCAGTTCTTGTTTTCAGATAAATTACAGATATATTGTGTGCAGATTATAATACATGTATATTTATACAGATATTATATATATATATATATATATATACACACACACACACACACACACACACACGTATGCATAAATATTGTATAGATATTGAATGTATTTGTTTTCTATCATTTATTATAAATATGTATAAAATAACTGATATATAATCTGAATGCTTATGTAGAAGAATTATAAATGATAATAGAGAACAGGCTCTGACCTCTGTTTCTTGCTCCCATTACAAAAATTAATAAACCATTTAAAATTAAATTAAATTAAATTAAATTAAATTAAATTAAATAGATTTGAATTAATCTTTTATTTGACAATTTTCATGTATTGGATAGTTATTGGACAACTTTTATTAGATAGAGAGAGTGTAGCTGAGACTTGACATTATCGGGGAGAGAGTGGGGGAATGGGATCAGGACACAACACAGCTGGGATCGAACCTGAATCTCTCACATGAGCACCATAGATCATGTGTCTGAATCATGTTCACTATACAGCTAGGCCACTACGTTTAACTTATATGCATATAAGTTATATGCAGTCACATATAAGCAGTCACCTGTTAATGAATTGTATGTCTCATTCACAGGGAAGGGAATAGCTGGAATTTTGTGCTTGGTGAGGTAAATGCCGCTATGATTGATAGAGGCTCTCTGCTCCTTCCATTTTCATTTTGACTCAATTTTCATCCACTCCTGGTAGCCAAGAACGATTTACATAAAGATCTACGAGCACACCACGCACAGAGCAAAATTGATGTGAATAAATTGATGAAAATAAATGTGATAACTGTGCTATTTCTGAATGGATGATCTCATCGGGCATTAACGGCCAAGGGCAAAATCACTGAGAATGTGGACTCTACTCAAGTCTCTACAAAGACTCTACGACTTTACAAAGTTCAGTGAAGTAAACACATTCTAAAAATGTCACAATGGCTGCGTCTGAAATTGCATATCCTCAGAGTAGGTGTTTATTTTGAATAAGTAAATAATCTGTATCTGTTAACAAAATACATTCTATATAGTACGAATCTGGAAGTACTACATTCGTCATGTTGTCATTGTCATGTGACCTACCATAATCAATTGTGCCGCTTTACAACTCCCCTTCTGTGGCCTCATGGGATAGTAAAGTGTCCATTAGATGCGCACTTCAGAATATCAACAGTTGTAGTAGGTCCAGGTACTTTTCACTTAATGTTTTATGAATACTCTGAATTTGGACATACAGCTCATTTCAAATACTGTTTATCGCCTATACTATATAATAGGGAAGTATGCAGCCATTGACTTAATGACTTAATTTAATTAAAAACTGCTTCCTGTTTGACTTCCTAAGTATGGTGATTTTTCAACTCTTGCTTTCATGCTAATAAAATTGTGACTTAGAGAACACATTGGGCCAGATTTACAAAGTGTTTGCGCTGTCTTTTGGCATTAAAATAATACTGTCAGGAGTTACTAAAGATGCGCAGTGAAGAATTAGCGCTGAAAAGGCGTGGACAGTTATTTTATGCATTTGTAGGAGTTTCCCTTTCAGACGCAAAATTTATGGGAGGAGAGTATTGAAAGGAATCGCTCAACGCAATTTACTAACGTTTATTTGCGCCATTATTTAACGCTCCAAAAAACATGTCTTAAAGCAGACGCTAATTTGCGTTGCTCTTGGTAGATTTTGTTGGTCATTATGGAAATGATCTGGCTGCTTCTGTGTTCTTTAATTTGTGCATTGTCAATAAATCACTCGCAGAAATTTCCACTCCCATTAGCATTTTTTTGGAATTGCGCTCTCACGCTAATTTGCCTTGTTTAGTAAATCTGGCCCATTGTGTATTATAACATGGCCAAGCTTTGTATGCTGTAGAGGTCTGTAAGCCTAAAAATGAAAGGTAAAGTGTGTTTCCGGTCTCATTACTTTTTCCTACCCTGTCTTAATATGCAGAATAAGCTGTAAGTTGATTGATTTATGAATCAAGCTCATCTAGGACCCCAAAGTGGTGCCCAGTGAAATCCATTGATTTTTTTTCCCCCAAATGCCGTTTTTTTCTTCTTCTTTTAAATATAACTGGATTCCTTTTTCCCCCCCAGTTTTATTTTTTTTCTGGATTGTTTTAATGGTTAAATTAAATTTTAATATTATAACATGGCCAAGCTTTGTATGCTGTAGAGGTCTGTAAGCCTAAAAATGAAAGGTAAAGTGTGTTTCCGGTCTCATTACTTTTTCCTACCCTGTCTTAATATGCAGAATAAGCTGTAAGTCGATTGATTTATGAATCAAGCTCATCTAGGACCCCAAAGTGGTGCCCAGTGAAATCCATTGATTTTTTTTTCCCCAAATGCCGTTTTTTTCTTCTTCTTTTAAATATAACTGGATTCCTTTTTCCCCCCCAGTTTTATTTTTTTTCTGGATTGTTTTAATGGTTAAATTAAATTTTAATCATCATAAAACATGTCTAATTAATAAAAATCATGAAACTTATATAATTTAACCACAATTAAAACTATTATAAGGGCCCTGTTTTTTAAAATGTAGTTTTGTTTTGTTTTTGGTAAATAAAGTGCATCACAATAGATCTCTACTGTTAAAAAGAAAAAAAAGTGTGATATTCCTTAAAACTGTTGTTATTATTATTGTTATTTTGAGGGGTACATTCTACTGTACAGTATTAGCATATTTCTGTCACAATTTCTTCAAGTTAATCCAAACTTTTATTTTGATGGCTTGTCATGAAGACGTTTGAGTTTCTGTGTGTATGATATGAGGATAGTTTTATTAAATGAAATGGAGAAGTGCTGGTGAAGTGACTCTCAGGGCAGCTCTGGAGAAGAAATTCATGTGTTCTCTTCTAGACCGCAGACTTCATTTTTAAATAGCAGTCTTTTTCCACTTTCATATTCACAGACAATAGTCCACATTGCAAATTAATTAACTGTACCCAACTTGTATTCATCCAACATTTGCCAAATTCTGTGACATTCTTTGTTATACAGTAAATTCCACCTTTACGGATTCTGAGATTCTGACATACTACCAAAGTGATTCCACTGGCTAAAGGAATGATTTTACTCATTAAATGTTCTTTCGGCCAAATGAAAACACTTTGGGGTCCTAGGCAGTCTTGATCTGAGAAGCTTGAAGAAGACCCAATACTATACTAAACAAACAAACAAAAAAAACCCTTACAATTAAACCTATACATTTTTTTTAGCAAAATCAAAATTAGGCATGAAAACCTGACCCAAACCTGGGCTGCGTTTCCCAAAAGCATCGTAAACCTAAGTAGATCATAGAACCATTGCCACCAATGGTCTCTTTTGAGAAACGCAGCCCTGGCCCGAAATCCAAGAGGTTGCCGGGTCCCATCGGGCTCAGATCGGGTAACAGACTTCAAGTATGCTGCTATGGCAATGAGCATGGAGATTCTGGGATGCTGAGCAGCAGAGCACTGAGTGGAACCAGCAATCTGACCACAAAGCAGCATGGTGTCTCGTTATTTCGACAAAAATCGATAAGATTGAAGGGCATTTTGTGTGTGTAATTGGGAGGGGCCGTTCTCATGCTGCACTGGGCTGGGTTACCCTTGTCTAACCTTGGTGTTTGTCCCAGGAGCAGCTTGCCATCCCATCCCATCCCCATGCACCCCAGTCAAAACCTGACAGACAGATCAGAGCATCGATAACAGCCTGCTGCTGTCGCACCATCCCCCACTGGAGCACACACACACACACACACACACACAATCAAAGTTCTGTCCTACTGAAATGACCTGTAGTCTCCGCCATGCATAATCACAAACATAAAATACATTTGAAACCAAATGTCAACAAACATGCTAAAAATTAGTATCTTATATCTGAAATCTTATATTGTGGTAGGAATAATTTGATGGTGTCATGGTAACAGTATCTTTCTCAATAGTTATTTTTACTTTTATTTTTAGTTAAATGCACTGTGAGTTGTAAGGTCTTATATAGACAGGTGTGTGGCTTTCGTAATCAAGTCCAATCAGTATAATCAAACACAGTTGGACTCAAATGAAGGTGTAGAACCATCTCAAGGATGATCAGAAGAAATGGACAGCACCTGAGTTAAATATATGAGTGTCACAGGAAAGGGTCTGAATACTTAGGACCATGTGATATTTCCGTTTTTCTTTTTTAATAAATCTGCAAAGATGTCAACAATTCTGTGTTTTTCTGTCAATATGGGGTGCTGTGTGTACATTAATGAGGAAAAAAAATTAACTTAAATGATTTTAGCAAATGGCTGCAATATAACAAAGAGTGAAAAATTTAAGGGGGTCTGAATACTTTCCGTACCCACTGTATATATATATATATATATATATTGTAAATTATAATGTTTCTATAGATTAGTCAAATTATGAAATCAACTACACACACACACACTCAAAATTAGTAATAATCCAACTTGATATCTGTGGGGTAAAGTGTGATCTAAAAACTAGTAACTTGCAGAAAACTTTTATACTAGTGCTTTTATTTTAAATGTTACATTTTCATTTTAGTTTAAGTTGTATTATTTTTTTTATATGCTTTTGTAGTTTTTGTTAGTTGTTTTGCAATTCTATAATTCATTTAATTCATTTTTGTTTTAGTTTTAGGTTTAGTAATTTTATTACTTCAACTTCAAGATTTTTTTGTTTAAGTTTTTAGGTTTAAAGCTTTTTTTTTAGTTTCATTTTAATTAACATAATTATTTAATTCTTTAATTCTTTAACAACACCCTTTAAAATTTCAAGACTGGTAAAAAAAAAAAAAATCCATACAATGAAAACTAATGGGGTACAATTAATGGGGTTTTTGCCCCACTGACTTTCATTATATAGACAAAAAGAGAAACATTCTTCAAAATATCTTTTTAGGTCAAAAATAAATAAATAAATAAATAATGCAGGTTTAGAACGTCATGAGGGT